ACTGACTGTTGAAAAACTTCATTGATAACTTCATCCAGCCACTTTCCATCACTTTTGACACCGCTAGCAAATTCTGGCCTTAATGAATAATCCATGAGATGCTTTCTGTTGGAAACATCAACTACAACACCTTGATTCGTAAAGTCCAGGTCCACACGGATTGTATTCAACTGGTAGTCAAGAGTAAACTTATCAACCCATCTCAGTCCATAATGTGAGGAGTCCCAACTTGTATAAAGCATCAAACTGCAGCCCTTAGCTTCTATCCCAGATTTGTCATTGAAGTGAGTGAAGATTGATCCTCCAAATGCACAAATCTGTAGATCATTCTTTCCCAATGGTCCTGCTAAGATACTCTGGACTATTATACCCTTTTTACCCACAATAACATAATCCTGACTGTCAGAATCAGCAACATACTTTTCCATAGACACATCATTCACCATCTCTTTTTGAATATTTTTCATAGACATAACCCCTTCCAATCTAGGAATACCAAACATGTTTAATCCTTCCCACAATATGTTTAATGAATGACAATACACCATTTCATTCTTGAAGACATTTGGCCAGTTCATCTGCTGTACAATATGAGAAGAAATATCACCCGCCTGAAGAAGCTTGAACCTATTGATTTCAAGGTCTGACCGGTCCCGATCGTTCTTGGAAACAATCTTACGTCTGGGGAATCCAACCACCGCTCCATCTTCAGGTTGAAGTTTAACTGATGGTTTATCATTGTGTTCCTCTTCTCCCTTTGTGTGCTGCTGAATAGCCAACTCCTGCTGCCACTCTTTGTTTTTCGAATTCATGCAGCGACACACAGTCCTCGACCTTCCTAGCCTACGATGTTGTCGCAGCTTGGGCTTCCCCTTCTCCAGGTTTGAAGGTTTTTCCTTCTCCACTTTTTCGCCCTTTTCTTTCTCCCTTTTTTCGCGTTCCTCTTTCTGCACTTTTTTGCGTTTCTCTTTCTCCATTTTTTTACGCTTCTCTTTCTCCACTTTCTCGCCTTCAACTTTTTCTGTGAACTTCCCCAAGGTTCCGCGCGAATCCTTTTGAGAGTGCGAAACAGTTCGTGACTCTTTCTGCACTTCCTTCTGCGATTTGGTGAGCGACGAACTCTTATGGTCAGATAAACGATGATGACTGGTGTTGCTCGATCGATCTCCAAGTTCCTTGCGAAGCTTTTGCTCTTGATGTGAAGCCTTTTCCGCGATCGTTTTCATTTTTCTGCGAGAAGCCTTTTGTGAGTGCGAATCAGACGAAACAATTCGCGCTCGGTCTCTAGTTCGCCTGCGAGGTTGGTGACCGATCTTGTTTATTCTACTCAACATCTCCGCATCCCAATCATCGAAGGATTGTTGATTTTGTTCGATCTTCTCCTGATTCTTCTCCATCTGCGATAGACTTCTTTTAGCGACAGAGTTTTCCACACCAGCGATCCTAACGCTCTGATACCAATGTTAGAAACCTGCAATTCTAGTCTAACAGATCACAGAATTGAATCAAGAACTCAAGGCAACCTTTATTGAAATCTCCTTAGGCAACTGGCCGTAGCCCCCAAATGAAAAGAAAGAGAAGCTCGTCTCTCAATTTCCAACCCCAAGACTAAAATGTGTAAAACAGCCTCTCTACCACTTCTAACAATATTCTATTTATAGTAAGGAAGGCTAACCCGTAGTTATTAGCTCATAACAGACTAAACTAATACAACCCTACTTCCTTCTAGAACACACTTTATTAGAGTATTTATCTCCTCTCTTCAGATTAATAAAGTCTCTATCAAATCTCCCCTCCTGAAAATCCAACTTGCCCTCAAGTTGGACGGTTGGAAATTGTTGTCTGATGCTATGTTCTGTCTCCCAGTATCATTCAAACTCCGGAAGATCCTTCATATGAACCCAGATTTCCCTCTCCGCTGCTGAATTCATTCAGATATTCTTCACTTCCTCAGGCCACACCAGTACTTCACACTCTTCAATTAAACAATTAGGAAGGTCTTGGTAGGAGTTGGCAGGTTTCAATTCCTTCTTCTGCTTCCTCTTCATCCTGGTGCTTCTACCTTCCCAATATCTCACTGGCTTCAGAGCAAAGAGCTTTGCTACTTGAATCTTTATTATCCAATTCTCAGCAGGAAAGAACAGAAGTAAAGACATCGTGGCATAATGCTCCCTGGTGTTGTAAAATTTTCCCAGTGTCTGTATCTCCTGTTGAATTCTTGACTTTTGTTCCCACTTCTTTTCAAAAGAATTGACCTCAGTTTGTTCATGACCTGGCACCCGTTCAAAAGCATATGATTTAAGATCCCCGTTATAATAACATCTCAACATCTTCCCTGGAATCAAATCATACTCATAGAGAGCATCAACAACTTGCTTACAAAGATCTTCATCACAATTCTGCAATCGCTCACATAATGCAAACATACTCTGATGAGTTTCAGCTCTAAATGGATCATAGGGCAGACCAGTTTTAACCTTTTCACGAACACACATACAAACTTCCGCTGTTTGATCAATCAATCTCTTCAAAAAATCCCTAACTGACTGTTGAAAAACTTCATTGATAACTTCATCCAGCCACTTTCCATCACTTTTGACACCGCTAGCAAATTCTGGCCTTAATGAATAATCCATGAGATGCTTTCTGTTGGAAACATCAACTACAACACCTTGATTCGTAAAGTCCAGGTCCACACGGATTGTATTCAACTGGTAGTCAAGAGTAAACTTATCAACCCATCTCAGTCCATAATGTGAGGAGTCCCAACTTGTATAAAGCATCAAACTGCAGCCCTTAGCTTCTATCCCAGATTTGTCATTGAAGTGAGTGAAGATTGATCCTCCAAATGCACAAATCTGTAGATCATTCTTTCCCAATGGTCCTGCTAAGATACTCTGGACTATTATACCCTTTTTACCCACAATAACATAATCCTGACTGTCAGAATCAGCAACATACTTTTCCATAGACACATCATTCACCATCTCTTTTTGAATATTTTCATAGACATAACCCCTTCCAATCTAGGAATACCAAACATGTTTAATCCTTCCCACAATATGTTTAATGAATGACAATACACCATTTCATTCTTGAAGACATTTGGCCAGTTCATCTGCTGTACAATATGAGAAGAAATATCACCCGCCTGAAGAAGCTTGAACCTATTGATTTCAAGGTCTGACCGGTCCCGATCGTTCTTGGAAACAATCTTACGTCTGGGGAATCCAACCACCGCTCCATCTTCAGGTTGAAGTTTAACTGATGGTTTATCATTGTGTTCCTCTTCTCCCTTTGTGTGCTGCTGAATAGCCAACTCCTGCTGCCACTCTTTGTTTTTCGAATTCATGCAGCGACACACAGTCCTCGACCTTCCTAGCCTACGATGTTGTCGCAGCTTGGGCTTCCCCTTCTCCAGGTTTGAAGGTTTTTCCTTCTCCACTTTTTCGCCCTTTTCTTTCTCCCTTTTTTCGCGTTCCTCTTTCTGCACTTTTTTGCGTTTCTCTTTCTCCATTTTTTTACGCTTCTCTTTCTCCACTTTCTCGCCTTCAACTTTTTCTGTGAACTTCCCCAAGGTTCCGCGCGAATCCTTTTGAGAGTGCGAAACAGTTCGCGACTCTTTCTGCACTTCCTTCTGCGATTTGGTGAGCGACGAACTCTTATGGTCAGATAAACGATGATGACTGGTGTTGCTCGATCGATCTCCAAGTTCCTTGCGAAGCTTTTGCTCTTGATGCGAAGCCTTTTCCGCGATCGTTTTCATTTTTCTGCGAGAAGCCTTTTGTGAGTGCGAATCAGACGAAACAATTCGCGCTCGGTCTCTAGTTCGCCTGCGAGGTTGGTGACCGATCTTGTTTATTCTACTCAACATCTCCGCATCCCAATCATCGAAGGATTGTTGATTTTGTTCGATCTTCTCCTGATTCTTCTCCATCTGCGATAGACTTCTTTTAGCGACAGAGTTTTCCACACCAGCGATCCTAACGCTCTGATACCAATGTTAGAAACCTGCAATTCTAGTCTAACAGATCACAGAATTGAATCAAGAACTCAAGGCAACCTTTATTGAAATCTCCTTAGGCAACTGGCCGTAGCCCCCAAATGAAAAGAAAGAGAAGCTCGTCTCTCAATTTCCAACCCCAAGACTAAAATGTGTAAAACAGCCTCTCTACCACTTCTAACAATATTCTATTTATAGTAAGGAAGGCTAACCCGTAGTTATTAGCTCATAACAGACTAAACTAATACAACCCTACTTCCTTCTAGAACACACTTTATTAGAGTATTTATCTCCTCTCTTCAGATTAATAAAGTCTCTATCAGCGTTCATTCACAGATGAACCATTTGACAATTGTTTGTGACATATTCTTGATGGTGGCTTAAGGTCCTCTTCAGGTTGCTAATATCAATGCTTCCCATTAGCTTGCAGAATCCTTAACCATCTAGCTACCGTTTTTTCTTTTTCTTTAACATCGCACACAGTTCCACACCCGTGATGGAAGCTCATGAGGCATGATAATGAATTATCTTGTTACTCTTCTTAAATCGAAAAGATTCTTACGACTCTTATAGTGTATTGTATTCTTAGTCTTGTAGACTATTCATTACTTAGCATGAATATATCCTTTCATGGAGGAGCATCAAACAATCATGTAAAAAGTAAACCTGTAGCTCCTTGATGAACTTTCCAGCCATCCAAGAACGGGAATTGGCTACTCCAGTCATATTCAATGGAATAAAACATTGTAGCACAAAGATTACATCATTACACTTTCCAGTACATAAGCATAATGTCATACGCAATGCGAATATATTACTCAATGCTTTCATATAAGGTAGGTTAGTTAATCGCCAATATATATGTGCATTAAACTATTGACACAAATAATTGAAATAGAAATTGGAAGTTCTAGCAGGGAGATCACTTATGAATTTAAAATTTCAAAATGACGACAAACAGATGATATAAAAAAAGATTGATATCAAATCCTTATACCTCATCATCCCCGATAAGAGCAAAAACGCGGACGAGAAATTCGACAATGTTTAGATTATCATCAACAGATCTGAGAGCGCTGATTTCGCGGAGGACTTGGAGGGATTCGTATCGCATGAAATTCTTTAAAGTGGAGGTTATTTGAAGCAGCAATTTCACATCGTTGCAGACTAAAATTGACTCGAGAATTCGGAGAGTTGTGTCGTCGAATCTGCACAAATGTGGCACACCTTCGTGAATGAAAATGAAATCCTTCGAAGGAGAGGAACAGAAAGAAGAGCATCTCAATATGAGCGTGAACCTTCGGTTTTTTATTAGGGAGCGGAACAGGGAGATTTCCCGGTCGACTTCCTTGGACATTCTGACTTTTGGGAGCTTGACTGCCTGAAAGAAATAGAAGCGGGGCGTTCAATTTTATGAAATATTTTGACTACATACAAAATTCCGTCGGAACAGCCTCAGAAAAGATTTAAAAACTTATTTGATCCCTTTTATGCAACTTTGAGGACTAAACTGACCATTTATTCATTTTAAATTTACACATATTTATATGTAGGACTCGTTAAGCTAAATAGCTAACACTACCTTCGCTCTTAAATAAATGCAATATGTCGAATTTTACACTATTCACCTGTTCTACTTTGACTACATTTTATTTATTAATGTATTACTAGTAATGCATTTTTATGAAAAAATATTGTTAAATTTGTCTCATTGTAAATTTTTAAAACCTAATTTTTTAATTTCTTCTATTAATACAAAATTATATGTATTAATTGTTAAAGTTGTATCTCGACAAGTGTGAAACATTGACCGTTGCATTTATTTTAAAATGAAAGAAGTATCCGGCATCCCTACCATTTGAAAATCGATAGTATAAAGTTTAAGAAAAAATGCAAATATAAAACGCAAATTCTGGTACCGACTCCTAAACAGTTTGAATATAAACAAGGAAAAAATACGGGTATATGACAATAAGTTAACCCATTTCCCCAACTATGAGTCATGTAGTTTTTTTCCCACTATATGAGTAATCGTGTATGAATTAAAACGACACATGGCTAAATGATTGCAGTGAAAGACAAAAATAACCTCTACTTATGGGCATAGCGGGAATCAAAACAATCGGATCCTCTCAATTTTCAAAATCTTCATTATGACGGTAAGAGCTGAATTTGCTGCCGCTCAGTTATGGTAAGCAGATCAATTAAGGAAGGATTCCTAAACTTTGTGCCCTAAATTTCCCCAACTAGCGTCAACCAGTATCAATTAAGGAGGGATTCCTAAACGGGCAGAGCAGTCCACCGGTGTCAATCGGCAAACCCAATCGAAGCAGAGAAAGTGCGAACCAGGAAAAATGGTGAAGAGGGGAAGAAAAGAGATAACAACGAGGGTCACTCGGAAAGGAAAAGGGAAAGATTATGAGAAGGTTACAGTCAACAGTGTGGTAAGTTTTGTTATGTTTTATTGCAATAATTTCCCGAATTTGATTGTCCTTAATGATTGAGTGTGTGTTCGAAGTATGAATGAACTATGGTTGAAGGTGTAGTGTGAATCCTGTTGTGGAATGTGTTCTGTAACTCTATTTTTTGAAATGAAACAAGTGTAACTTAAACTTTTATATTACTAAGAAAAAGTTTATAATATCCATCACAATGCCATGGGTATGAAATGTGCTTCAAGGTGGACTGTGAATCTGGAAGCGTAGGTATGTGCAATGTATCGAATGCATTGTTTTCAATTTTTGTTGAATGATGTACATGTAGGACCATTAATGGAACCTATTGTGCCATGAATGGCAAAAATATTGATATGAGTGTTTGTTGTTATTACATTGCATTGACTTTAAAAAATATTTGAAGTTGTAGTATGGACTGCGGAGTTTTTTTTTTACATTTTTATTAAGTGCAATAATATGTTTTTTGTAATGGACACATTTAATGTTTAATTGCAATGTGTTAAGGTTATGATCATTACATGAAGTGTATGTGATTGTAATGCTATGTTTAATATTGTCAATGCAATGAATGTGTACAAATTGGTTCATGGCACATGTAGTAATGTATGTTTTGAGGTTCTAGTGTGCAGAAAGTTATGTGTTGAACATATGTAGATGAGAAAAACAGATTTTATTTTTTAGTTGAGTAATATATTTGTTTGGTAATGAAGAAGCAAACACTGTGAAATCTTGTGGAATATGGATTGGTGCAGGTATACAACAGGTTGTGTTCAACTAGCATTTTGGAAGGGATGGATGAACTACGTGTAACCTGTTTCTGCAACCCAATCAAGGCCGTACAGTGCTTACAGAGTATCTTGTCGGAGGATGATCTAAAGGAATTTAGAAAGTCCGCTTTTGGGTATATAATGGATGTTGGAAACATGCCATATGTGAACGGACAACTAATTGTCAATCTTGTAGGCAACCATGTGCAGGAAGTTAATGATGGTAAGAAGAAAAAGGAAATCAAGTTTCTGATACAAAATAGAATAGTGAGCATGAAGAAAGAAGATTTTGCATTGATAACTGGTTTGCCATTTGGCACTGCAAAACCAGAGTTGAGTAATGAGTGCGAAGGTGACATATGGAAGCGGTATTTTGATGGCGAGAAGAGTGTGAACCGAGGTCATGTGAAGCACGTGTTTGAGACACTGAACAATAGAGTAGAAGGAGTTCAAGCTTTGGATGGAGTGAAGTTAGGCTTGCTGCATGTTCTTGGCAGCTACATTATTGGGAACCAAACTTCAATAAAATTTCCCGCATGCTACATGAATCTCGTGGATGATCTAGATGCATTCAATGCATATCCCTGGGGTGATACAGTATGGGAAGATTTGGTTGAAAAGGTGGAAAACTGTGCACATTTAATTGATGAAGGCAAGAACACGCGGTTGGTATTCCCGGGCTACATCTTGTGATCTTGTAATAATAGTCTTGGTTTTTCTCGACAGTAGAAACGAAGACACTCACTTCACCACCATCTGATTTTATCAACAACTCGCGAGATGAGGTATATTTGAATCACATTTCAAAACGTTGTTTTGCTCTAAGCGAGGAAGGGCAACGAGATTTGAGGACTTTTTTTTATGAAGACCTTACATTGACTTTGACAAGTGACAATGGAAGACATATGATTCAAATATACTTTTAAAAATGAAAAACAAAAGAGATTATGCAACGAGTAAAGGGTCAGTTTAGTCCTTGAAGTTGCAAAAAAGGCGTCAAATAAGTCCTTATATAGAAGATTCTGTCCGGACGTGCCATTTGAGGTGGCTCCCGGTGGATTTTTGTGATAAATTTTTTTGAGCATCTTATTCATTAAGTCTAGTTTACTCATACCAAATTTCAGCTAAAAATTCAATCGGGAAGACATTCAAATGAATTCTTGAAGATAACAGCGCTTTTAACGGCACAGTTATCTTCAAGAATTCATTTGAATGTCTTCCCGATTGAATTTTTATCTGAAATTTGGTATAAGTAAACTAGACTTAATGAATAAGATGCTCAAAAAATTTCATCAAAAAATTCCACCGGGAGCCACCTCAAATGGCACGTCCGGACAGAATTTTCTATATAAGGACTTATTTGACCCCCTTTTTGTAACTTCGAGGACCAAACTGACCCTTATCCCATTATGCAACATGTAGTTAGTTAGTCATGGACTAGGTTCGGGCCACCCGGCCGGGAACTGGCCCCGCCCGCTACTGTGCGGGACCGGACCGGCCCGGTGCTTCGAGCCCGAAACCGGTCTATGACCCGGTTATAAGGAAAAAGCGGGCAGGCTCGGGTTGCTAAAAAGGAGACCCGGCCCGGTTCGAGCCAACGGCTCTATTTTTTTTAAAAAAAATTGTTAAAGTTGATAATCTCGTCGGTGCTTTTAACGATTTTCAAACGCCGCTTACGTGAGTTATTTTTGTGATTTTATGCAATAGAAGTTTTTCAAATATTATGCACATATTCCGCATATTTATGGTATTGCATTTATTCTTGATCCTTGTTATAGACTTGATTCTTTGGAAAAATGTTTGAACTTCTATTATCTACCTTTTTTTGGTTCATTGTCAATGTATGATGATAAGGCCATAGATCCTAAACAAGAATACCAAGAGGTTAGTAATTTATTTTATGCATTATTTAATGAGTTTCATGAACAATATGACAACGTACCCTACACCGACACGAACATCTTCATCTGAAGGAAAATCAATTTTCAAATCTGCTTTTGACAGTCTTATGAAAAAAGTAAAACAACTCCCGCTACTGAACAAAGCTCATTTAATGAGCTTTCTTTGTATATAACATATCATGTTGATTATGAAGAAAATGAAGAATTTGACGTTCTACAATGATGGAAGAAAAAAGAAAGAATGTTTCCGATTTTAGCACGGATGGCTAAGCAAGTGCTATCAATGCCGGTTTCAACAGTCGCTGTGGAACAAGAATTTAGTTCGGTCGGCAACGTCCTAACAGAATCTAGAACGAGATTGAGCGCAAACTCTCCTGAGACGCTTGTATGCTACGACGATTGGTTGAAGGTCGGGCGTAGAACTCAAGAACTTAGCATCACCCCCTCTCAACACTTTATGGATGAATCAACAATCGATGGTGGCCCTACCCATGCCGGAGATTCTGATTGATTAGTATTTTACAATTTATTATAAAATGTATTTCATGTTTGAATTTTTTCCTCAATTCTCGATTGTAGACTTGTAGTCCATATTTCAAATCAATAAACGTTACATTTTTTGTATATGTTGCATGTTTTAAAGTAATTTAAAAAAAAAAAACCGACTCGATCCGGTTTCCCGGGTGGCCCAAACTGGTACCCGGCCGGGTAGCCCGACCCGAACCTGCCTTACCTCCGGGCCGGTCCCGGGCCCACATAAAAAAGGCTTGATCGGGCCTAGGCCCGGCCCGGACCCGAACCGGCCCGAGTCCATGACTACATGTAGTTGTATAGATCCTTGTTCAAAAAGTTGAAATAAAATTGTGTCAAAAGTTTAGAGATCTAACTCATGGGATCTAATTTCTATTGGTGCGGTCTCTTATACATAGAACCTAGTTTTGATATCTTCTAAGTTCTTGTATGTAGGACTCGTATTTTCCCTCTTTATTTTAATTATAGTTTCAAACTTCAATTCTACCATTCATTAGTGTACAAATTCCACAAATAGGTAGTCATAAGATCTAGGGAGATTTACCGGGATATGACTAAAACTCAATGAGTTTCTAAATATATGACCTAACTAGTTTTTATACTTTTGTATGACCAAAAATCCAAAAACAAATAGAAAATTCGTTTATATTTAAATGTTGAATGATGAAAATACCCTTATTTAAAATATTTGCATTTTGCACTAATTTCATCCAATTAAAATTATTGCACTTTATATTGTCGTCAATGCACAAAATTAATGCATGACTTTACTGCACATCTGG